AATGTAGCGAAGAAACATTTTGATATTTCTAGCAGTTTTGTTGGCCTCTATTATTTTGTAAATATAGGTTTGACGAGAATTCGGTGTGATTATTTGTGTTTCAATTGTATTTTAGAGTTTTCGACTCGGAAATCAATTACCTCAAATTTCGAAGTTTTTCATAATTACTCATGGTGGAAAAATTCAGTTGAGATAACTTTTTCATGGGGTGATCAATTGCTATGATGATATGTAAGAATAAGTAACTGAAAAACTACCACTGAAAAATAATATGCCGTCGAGGCGGGAATTCCTTCTGTGCTGTTCCAACTGGTATTGTTTTGGTATTATTTTCTAATATAGTTATGATAATAATACAGTTATTGGCCAAACACTTGGTTAACTTTCTGTTGATATCGATGGTTGAAAATTGAACGTTAAATGAAGTTAAGAAGTAATTCTTTAGAATTTATTTCAAATTATTTCATTTCAGTATTTCAATCGTTATGCAATAACTATGTAACCAAACTTAATAACTCGGTATTCTTAATTTCTTTGTTTCAGAGTTTATTTGCCATAAATGTGGAAAAAAATATGGAAAGAAGTTGTCGCTATATTGCCATGTTCACAGATATTGTGGAAAGGAACCTAATTTCGTTTGCAACTACGGGGACTGCAGTTATAGAGGGCATACATCATACAATTTACGAAGACACATTAATATGAAACATTGTTGTGAACAACCGCAGTAACGTCTTCTGCTTTTCTTCATGCACAAAGTATATTATAGTCTGGTTCACATGTACTTTTTTTTACTTATTTTTGTGAAATTTTACGGAGGGGTCCAAAAATTACGACAAAGGTGTCATTGGATTCGTATTTTTACCTAGTAAGTTCAAAAAAAGGTTCGAAAAGGCGCTGAAGAAAATTACAAAAGTTATGAACAATTCAGTGAAAAAAATGGGGCTTTAGTATATTTTGAATATCTCGAAAAATTTTCAAAATTTTGGAAATTTGAAAAAAGATCTGAAAAGATCAATAAAGTTGCGTAAAAAAAGTGCCGACTCCCGAAATTGTATCTCAATCATTTATAATTTTTACAGAGCCTTGAAAATAAAGCCAAAAACGTCTGACTTCCGCGCGCATTCCGTCACTCTGACATAAAACAAAAAAAAAAACTATTTAAACATATTAAATGCGAATATTAAGGAATGAAAAAAATTCATCTGATGTTGGGATATATCAATAAACAATATTCCGCAGTCAAAAAATTTTTGTCTCAATTTTAACATCAATTATGCATTTGTTAATTAATAACTTTTTTTGAATTGAAAGTTGATATAAAAACCTCTATAATTATTAAACTAAAGCCCTGGCATTTTTTCCTTTGGTGAAGTTATTCTTAATAAGATAAAAAATAGATTACCGTTGTCAAAATAAAAAAATTGTCATTTTCTACTATTTTATTAACAATTAAAAATCGTAAATGAAAAAATGTTTCATACTTACACATTATTGTCCTTATTGGACGAAACTGCAGTAACGTTAGTTACAAATAAAAGTGGTAAAAACATATAAAGTTTCAATTCTCTTTTCTTCATTATGATTTCTTACCTCGTAGTAACTGCTACATCCATCAATGTATTGAATAAGTTGTGAATTTTCATCAAGCATCGGCCGATTCCAACAGATTCTATGTGAAAACATGTATTGAACTGTTGAAACAAACCTTTTGTATTTATTTTTCAGATGAGTTATATTCATTCTGTCAAGAAGAAAATCAACCATTCATTTGTAAAAGGTGTGGTAGAGGCTACAAATACAAAAACAACGTTCTAACTCATATAAAATACGAATGCAACATGCCAAAACAATTCGAGTGCCATATTTGCAAGAAGTCGTTTTCACAGAAGCGTTATTTGAGATATCATTCGATGACTTGTAACTTGTGTGTTTATCAAAATTAAATTATTTCTAATAAACAGAAACTGTTCTTGACCTCACTTTATTGTGAGATTTTCGCTAAACAGTTTTATAAAAACGTTTTTGTAAAACTGTTTAGTGCAAATCTTACAAAAAAAGTGTTTTTTAAATACGTTGGATTTTCATCAAGTATCAGCCAATTCCATCATACACAATTAGGGATTGTTAAACAGTAGTTACCCAGTTTAAAAACAATAGATATATCCAGCGGTGCCTGTAGAAGTTTATAATTACAAAAGTAGAGGTTGGGAAAACTAATTTTTTTGCTGAATATTTTGCCACCATATTTTTGGAAAATTCTCTGACAGGTCACTTTTTGAATCCAATTTGGAGAATATAGAAATGAACAATGAAATGTTACGCAGGTCGAAAACCAACATTACAGTAATATTACTCACTTGCCTATTTTTCATATCTAAGATAATTTATGATCATAAAATAAATATCGAATGAAAAATATTCTGAACCAATCTCATTAACTGTGAGTGAATTGAAGTAGAATTCACGAAATTTGAGGGACAATCCTTACAGAGGATGTACCTACTGACGTCATAGCTGAACATACACCCAGTCATTTTTTGTTTTTAACATTACTTAAGATTCAATGAATAACTCCCATACACAATGCCTTCAGTTCTCAAACTGACAAGTTCATTAACTCGTGAAAAATATCCGGATTAATCTCCGGTTCAGAATTTTCTTCAATAGACCTACCAATATTGAATATATGAAAGTCAGAATATTTGATGAAAATAGGAAAATTACACCTGAAATTCAATTCAATTCAAAAACGTATATTCAAATTTGGGTAAAAATACATTCAGTTTGAGATAAATTTTTGCTATAGGCTTATGCTTCTTCGGAGTTGGAGATTGGGTGTGTGTTGCATTCGGTTATCATGTGCTTAATTTGTTTTTCCGTAGTTCCATTGGGGTGGTCAGGGTCTGTTACAGTGGTCAGTTTTTACATAGGTTTAGATTGTTAGGCCGGAAATGGATGTTGTACGATTTCAGTTCCGTCCAGGATGTAGCTGTCCGCTATTTGATTCCCAGTGGGTACTCCTCCAGGATATCTTGGATCTGCTTCGACTGATCTTAAATGGCTCCCAGGAGTCTGGCTGGGGAAAATGGGAGCTTTTTCCTAGTTATCCTTCTAGGTCCTCCACGGGGAGTCCATGGTGTGGTCAGCGTGTTGATGGCATCGGTGTTGTCGCTGCTCATCGTTCTGGTCGCGTATCATCATTGGAATTCTTGAAATCGTAGGTTGATTGGTGTAGTATTTACTGAGTTATATAAGGTTTAAAATGGATAATGGTATGATAGGTACCGTTGGGGTGGTTCGGGTCCGTTGCGGTGGTCAGTTTTTACATAGCTTCAGGTTGTTAGGCCGGGATGGATGTTGTACGATTTCAGTTCCTTCCAGGGTGTAGCTGTCCGCTATCCGATTCCCAGTAGGTACTCCTCCAGGATGACTAGGATCTGCTACGACTGATCTTCCATTGCTTCCAGGAGTCTGGCGGGGGGAAATTTGAGCTTCTCCTTAGGTATCCTTCTGGGTCCTCCACAGGAAGTCCATGGTGTGGTCAGCGTGTTGATAGCATCGAGGTTGCTGCTGCTCATCGTTCTGGTCGCGTATCGTTCTTGGAGTTCCTTAAATCGTAGATTGATTGGTGTAGCATTTACTAACTTGTATAAGGTTTGAGATGGGTAGCGATATGGTAGGTGGTGAATGTTACGTAGGATCCTTCTTTCGGTTGTTAGTATGCGGTGGGATTGTCTAGGAGGAATCGTAAGGTAGATCGTGGCTTTATAATCTAGAATTGGTCTGATAAACATTTCGTAAGTGTGTTGAAGGGTTTTACTATCACATCTCCCGAGCTTGGCTCTCAGTGCTTTTAATAGATTTGCTCTTTTCCGGACTCTGTCCAGAGTTTCTCTCAGGTCGACTTTCCAGTTGAGGGTGCTAGTGGAGGTGATCCCCAAGTAGGTTACCGAGTCTGAGGTTCAAGTTATCAGGATTTAGTTTAGGGCGGATGGTGGTATGAGGATGTCTGAAAAGTATGGTTTGGGTTTTGGTAGGATTTATTTTGATGCGCCTCTTGATGCACCACTGCTTGAAGTGGCCGACCATAGTTTATGCTTACATCTGGAATAATATCAAGTTTTTCTACGAGATTTTCAGTATTGTCTTTAATTTTGACAAGAAAATAATGGCAGCCAATTTGAACACTGAACCTTATTTAAATAACTAACGATGAATACATTGATTTTTGATTTAATTCCTATAATTGATTTATGTCTGAAATGACAGTGTGCTTTCGTCATTATACAGGGTGATTCATATCACCCTTTATAATGACAGGGTGATATGAATCACCCTGTATAATTACGTTATTTTTTATTCTTCTTCAAACTGAATTTAAATATCGACCTATCTGAAAAAATTAACGGATACTATGTGTTTGGCAATAATAAATTTATTCCAACCAACGTACAAACTGTATGTGGAAACTGCAATTACAAATCGAACAGCAATAATACCGCAACCTTTGCTGTATTTTTTGTCAGTCGCTCATAAGCAAGAGCATATAAAATCCTAGTGGCTTCCATAATCGAAATCGAGTTTTGAGAGTCAAGCTCATAACTACTGAATTAATTGGGAGAAATTCAATCGAATTCTGTGACGAAATATTCAAAAGACTAAAAACTTTTGTATCGTTTTGAACAGAAAATACTGAATGAAGAAGATACAAAGATAATTCACAATTTTATTGGAAGTTGATTGAAAAGTTTTTATACTAGGTAGGATTAAATTTATTAATTACAAATAATATGTAGGGAAACCGATAACAATTGTTTCCCGATACCCTGTATATTCATTCTAATTTATTCCATCACAAAGACGATGTTAATGAAAACCATCAAAGCGATAATTTTTTGCGATCTCGAGGTTAAACGAATTTTCAGGATTCATTGCCATAGGAACTGTTTTGTTAGAAGTGTTTGTTGGTTTTGTGTTTGTCCGTGAATTATTAATTTGTGCCTGCAATTATTTCAGGTGGGTGGTAACATTTTTATTGCATAATTATGTTCGTTTCAAAACAAATTTTATTCAAATGAATCATTGTAGGTGCCTGGAAGAGCAATCAAGAGATAATATTTTGTTAATGTAATGTTTCTTCTTCTGAAAATCAAGACACATTATAAACGTGTATTTCAGAAAATCAATGAATATCGGTTGATGATTGGCAATTGAGGTTTCATTTCGAGACAGTGTCAATATCATTTCATAAAAACTATGCCTTATTTAGTATGCTGATTTTTCAAATCACACACTAAATTATTCGGTAAATTTTCGTTATGTGGACACCCGGCGATTTTGAAAAAATTTCTGACTGTACTTACGTATTTTGATGCGTAGATTACGAATCCGAAAGAAAAAAGCGGCGCTCTCCCTTATTTAAAAAGTTACGGCCCTTCAAAGTTCAGAAAAGGGCAACTTTTCAGCCTTCTTTTTCACTAAATAAACTATTTAAAAACACAAGCATTTATTCACTATGTCACCTTTACACCTTATTCCTCCTCCTTTAACACTTTTCACTTCAATAATCAACATTTTTCTTATAAAAATCTTAAAAAATGTACGGAGCTGCTTTTTGGTTACATATCACTGTATTTTACGTTTTTAAGGTTAATGATATGGTTGGTACGACTGATGCAGTCCATATTCCTGAAGTAATTCAAATGTTTTTTACCTTCATTCTTTAGATCGTAAATTGGTTTTTGGTGGTGTATTACGAATTTGAAATAGTAGGCGACGGCAAATACCAATATATTGTAATATATCAGGTGGCTTAATGTGTGAAAAATATTGGTGAATTTGAAATATTCTCACGTTTTATTATATCAAGATGAAGAAGTAGAAAACCGAAACCTGTCTTTTCCAAAGATATAGTTATGAGGAACAGATTCCCCCGTTTCCATTCTCAAAGAGAATAGCAATCACTTCAAAAATTTCAAATGGCATGTGGTTAGAGTGAGATGTCATAAAGAGCCGTGGAAATCTCTTCCCAGCAGTTTTTATAATTTCAAGTAGGGGTTGCATAAAAAAATTACATTTGAAAATTTAAATACCTACTTCTCAGTTGAATGAATATTCAAACGGATGACAACTTGCGTTCAACTAATGATGAATATTTTTGCACATTCTGCAGTATTTCCGACAGTGCTGTCGAAAATTTTGTTCTAAATACTGACGAATAATCAACGCAAACAATAAAGAAACACTGTTTTTTGGTAACATGAAATAACCATCATACTGTTGATTTTCTCGTGCACTATCCCATTGGCACCTATGGTCACCACTTTGATGGCATTTTTGTGTGAATTTGTCAAGTGAAACGTCGAATAACTCCGGAAATAATTCAGAATGTGCAAGAACGTTTCGAACAGGTGGTCATCAGTCTGAAAGTTGAATCAATTGAGTGATTATCAACAACCCTGAAAAAGTCAAATTTTCAAATGTAGTTTTTCAAAAGACTGTTAGGCAGAATTATGAAATAGAAACTTTCAAAAAAGTTTCAGGGACTTTGAAATGACATTTCGGTAATCTTCTCATGCCATTTGAAAACTTTGCAGTGATTTTTACCATCGCTTGTGGGTGGAAATGAATGAGTCAAAAAAATTGGGAGGGTTTTGACGTTTTCCTGAAATATTAACAGCTTTGTTTCGTTTTTGTTTGGCGGCTCTGTATATATACACAACATATACACATTTTGCATTCCATATACTACTGCACTTTTGACATGAATTTTTTTTTTTCGATATTCCACCCTTGTAATTTTTTACAGTTCATATATACAGTGTGACACACTTATGATGAAGACACCGTGTATTTTAGTCAATTTTGAAAGTAGAAATTTGATTTTTGATACAACCTCTGCGATCACGCTTAAAGAACAAATTTTCGTAATTTTGAGTTAGCATTGGAGATACCGAAATGAGTAATTTGAAAAAGTTGCTTAGAAATCGATTTCTACTATGTATACCTGATTTTAACCCAAAATTCTGAATTGAATGTTTTTTTAATCTTCATATTCAAGTCCAATTTTCAATTGATGATTTCGAATAAATAGCTACAGAAATGATGAAATAGTCAAAATCAATGAAATTTCATTTTTCATTTTTATTCCTACATTATTACTAATTTATTATTTTCGTGGTTTCTTATTTACAACCATTAATTGATATCGAACTTGAATATGAAATTCGGTATCGACTCAAAATTGATTTCTGAGCCACTTTTTCACATAACTTATTTCGGGATCTTCAACGCGAAGCAAATTATAAAGAATTTACACCTTTCACGGGATCGCAGTAGGCTGAGTTTGAGGTTATTACTCGGAATAAGTATTGCGAAAATTGCGTCCCATGAATGTCTATACCTGTACCAAAAATCAAATATCTGCTTTCAAACATGATTGAAATACAGGGGTGTCCTTATCTTAAGTTTTTCACACTGTATATAAATTTTCCAGAGATAGGATTTCACATAAGCTTAAGGAGATGGGCTGGTTAAGTATGCCTAATCGTCGTTTACTAAATTTGCGTTGTTTTTTTATGAAATCCTCAAAATCAATACACCTGGAAAGAGATATTTAAATCTTCTCTTATCAGATTGCTATAACTGCCTCTTTACTGGATATTCCCAATTTTACATTGTCTTTGAATCCCTTCAAAAAAAAAACAAAAAAAAATGTGTTGACCCACTAATGATATAACCTAGTGAATAAAATGTATCTTTCTATTTTATATTTGTTAATTATTTATCTCGGTTATGGGTACGTACCTTATTTTTCATTAATGATTTATTATTTACAATTTTTTTAGGGGAGTGTGGAAGAATCGGTCAACTGACCTAACACTACTCCTTTTGTTTTGCTGTCTTCTTTAGGTTAAGTTTTACAGTTCTGTAATTATTTTACCTGCAAGCAATAAACAATTTGTCATTATTATCATTATTACTCCACAAAAAAAAATATCATATTTGAATTCAAATAACCTAATTTGGTTTTTTGATGTCATGGTTTGTATGTATGCATGGAAACTCATCAAAATCTGGCCTGTTCAAGGTTATTTTTCCTACATTGACATGACACTTATTTTATGAAGCATAGTCAATTAGCATTAAGTAAGGGTCTCACTTGACATGAGATCTCAACCATACACTCCGATAGCGACTGATCTAAGCTGATCCAAGGCTGTTTCTTTGACTATGCCCTACTAATGTTGTTTGAGTACCAGAATAGACTGCATAATTTTCTTGACTTCAATTCATTCATTTAAATCATTATTTTCATGTCACACACGGTGGAGTAAAACAACACCAATAACAATTTGAAAAATGAACATGCACTGCCGTCTCTATGGTTAATGGTCTGAAACGTTTATGAAAAATGATCGCTTATTAACACATTCATTTTTTTCAGGTAAGTTCTGTTCAGCGTCAAATATATTCACCTTCGTATGATATAAATGAATAATCGAATGAGAAAATAGTTTTTCCATTTTGTGTCGGCCAATTCCACCACCTTCATTTTTCCTTTTCACATTATACCTCTTCTCAAACTGTTTGAGTAGAGTCTAGATGATGACAGTACGACCAGCTGTCGAAAGCGCTCGCATATAATTAAATAGGAGTTATAAAGCTTCAAATCCTTTTTGTGACAGATCATTATCAATATTCATTATATATTTCTACTAACGCTCATTTCAGTTTTTAGTTCACAACAACCTGCTTTCGTTGATCAATTTTCCCATGACTCCGAATTGAATTTGGGAAAAACAGTAGAAAACCAAAGTACCACAGAATCACTAACCCCAGTTACACGACATAGTAGAACACCTATTAGCAAACATCAAGCAAAAATTCTGCAAGATGAGTTCAACAGAAATTGTTTTCTGAAAAGAACAGAAAAAGAATATTTGGAGAAGGAAACCGGGTTGTCTAGCAGAGTAATTCAAATTTGGTTCCAAAACAGGAGACGGGAGAAGAAGTACAAAGAAAAATTATCACCATAACTGCAATAACGAATTATTGTCAAGAACAATTTGAAATTGAATCAAAGCTGGGACAGCTTTACTGTCGGAATTAAAAGAATTTTTGGCAAGGGGCTGTATTTTTTGTATCTCATACGTAAAATGTTATTTTGTGAGCGATTAATGATGTATCTTGATATTTTTGAAACTGGGTATTGAACAAATGAATTATTGCTGAAATATTAATGACAGTTCACTAAATTGAAAAATTCAAGTAAATATCATTGTAAGATGTTCACTGAACAATTGAAAAAACCGCAACACTTGTTCCAGTATACACTAGCTTCCTCAGGCGTTTCCCTACTGTATGAACACGTTCGAGGAAGATATTGTATAGTGTGACTCGGTTTCGTAAAGTGTTCAGTGAAAATCGCACACTCTATGAATACGACTGACAATTGTCTAATCAAATATCGACCAACTCCATCACATATATTGACAAAATTGAAGGACTAATCTAAGCACTATTGTTGTATCGCATCAATAGTCTCATCTCCTGGATAGCATGTTCCAAAGAAAATCTTGTTAATGTTGAAATAATACGTCTGAATATTCAGAGGGTTCTTCAATGAATTGGTAGGAATTTCCAAAGGATCATCTTATAGGAAAAACTATGATACATTGAATTTGTAGCGGAAATTTCATTTGACACAAAAACTTGAAATATGATAACAATACAACCAGTCTGCGGATATTCCTCATGGAATTCACACCACCACTGCTTGAAATTTCATTTTAGCCTACATCATATACAGTATGTATTTCATCGAGCGTACATAAGGATTTCAAAAAGAATGAGGAGAGGTGCCAAAATGTATTGCAAATAAAATGTTTGTATATCAATTGATTGAGATTTTTCAAATTATTCTTTAATATACAAAGTATCGAGTGAAAGTACATCATATCATAGTTAGGTTTTGTAAAAAGAATTTACAGTTCTCAATATGAAATATCTTATAT